ATATATATATATATATATATATATATATATATATATATAAATATATATATATATATATATATATATATATATATATATATATATATATATATATATATATATATATATATATATATATATATATATATATATATATATATATATATATATATATATATATATATATATATATATATATATATATATATATATATATATATATATATATATATATATATATATATATATATATATATATATATATATATATATATATATATATATATATATATATATATATATATATATATATATATATATTTGCAAAACATTTTTTTTATAGCATTGCCTTCACAAATCCAAACGTTACAAGGGAACTTGGCCATTTACGGCAGGCCCAGGCCTGTAAGACCACCTCGGTGATACTGTGTCTCCAGGTGATGACGTTGCTTAAATAGAGGCAGGTCTGGGCCTGCTGTAAATGCCCAAGTTTCCTTGACTCTGCCCACTTGTCAAATCAGGGCCACAAAGTAAAAGTTGACTAAAAAGCAAATCAAAATGAGCATTGCAACTGACTGGACGGGTTTTGTGAAGGCAATGCTATAAAAAATAGACTTTATTTAGGCGGGCTGCCCAGGTAACGGCTGCCCTAGTATATTTAGTGACACATTTTTTTTTTTACCATTATAATCATCCTTTTTTTTTGTATCTGGCCAATATAGACAAACATCCGCGACAGAGTGATTAAGTAGTGGAAAATCTTCTCTCCTGTTTCATACTGCTCGTTCTGTGTGAGTGAGAACTGTCAACACTTCCACAGGTAATCTCATGCGCTCTGCAGAGACCCACACCTTTTTGCGTCTGGCCGGGGTTTCTAAATCTACTCAAATGTCCAGGATTTGGTTTTGCTTTTGTTTTCTAAGCTGTCGTTAAGAGCGAGAGGGACATTAAAAAATTAACTCTTTAATCTAAACGACTCAGAAAACCTTTGATTAATACTCGAATAGGACGTAACTACTGTACATCTGAATTGGCTGCAGAATATTTGTACACCATAAGAAATCAACTCATTTGTCTTATTTAAATAATCTACACGTTTTATTCTTGTAACTTTTAGAGATATTGTCTGTCTTAATTGCTTTTTTCTGTCATTTTTTTTTTCTGTCACATATTTTATTAATTTGATGATGTCAATATATTACATATTTTATACATGCTTTGGCAATACTGTACAGAATGGCATGTCAATAAACCAACCTGAACTTAAATGAGAGATTTTAACTGTCAGTAGGTGCACATGGCTTCTGAATAGCATAAAAGAAAAATAGTGAGTTTTTTATGTATTTATTTTTTTAACCCTAACCCCTAAACTATTTTAAAAAAGAAGTTTAAAACAGATGATAATAAAAAAATAGTGTTAAAAATCAAATTATGTTTAGTTTGTCGCATATAGTTATCTATTTATGTGCTGTGGGTAAAAGGTGTGTTTCAATCCGTATACCACCACAAGTATATTTCAAACCTGTGGGAAGCACTGTGGTGATGTAGTCTAGTTCAAACAAATACAACTGGGCAAAAATGCAAGCTCTTCTTCTCTTACAGTGGAATCCTATTACATTTTACTTTTCATTTTTCACTTGCAGTCATTCACTTCTGTTTAGTTATCAGCGTTTGTTTCTGCTGATGAAGCGTCCGCTGCAATTGTCTTGTGTCATGTCAGTCAGCGATTTGAGTTTATTTTTTAATTATTATAAAATATAATTAATATATAGAAATATTTCTGTAACAAAAACACATCAGTCCATGTCCAAAGACATATGTAATGCTCTGGCAGCATATGGGTTAGTCGTATGATGGATTTATGCACTTTTTGGAGCTTAAAAAGGGAAACTATCTATTATACAGCACGGAAGAGCCAAGATAAAATTTAAAACTGCACCAGCTTTGTTTGTCTGAAGGAAGAGAGTCATATACATAGAGAATGGTTTAAGGGTGATCAAAAGCAGGGTATTCGATTTAAGTGAGTAAAGCAATGAAAAAATATGGTGACTTGAAAGATTTTATACCTGAAGTTCCACAGTTTTAAACTGCAAGAGAAAAGCAAGAAAATGATTTCAATTAGACTTAAAAACAACACTAAAATATTGTTCCAGCATTTAAATATATTTTAAGATAAAGTAAATTAAATTTAACTAACCACTTGATTGTAAGGCAAGAACTTGGTATCCAGAGACACAATACGAAATTTAACTGGAGAAGAGAAAATGTGGGACAGAAGATTAACATGTCAGAAATCCAGAAACATTCACAAGCTCAGAATTAGTGAATATATAATAGTACATTCCAGTTAAAACTTATCATTTGAAAAGAAAAAGTAAAAACCTGTTTGTCCGGGCTTGTAGATAGGTCTGTCAGACTGAATAAAAAGAAGTTTTTGGGGTGGACTAATGAGGATCTGAGTGGTTTTATTCATGAATGTTGACTGTCCTCGGATTGTAACATTGATGGATGCCACAGACTCCACAGTGACTAGTGGGACCTGGAAATTATTAAACAAAACAGGCAAAAAAACACCATGAAAATGAAACTCATTCTTTCATTCATTCATTCATTCATTCATTCATTCATTCATTCATTCATTCATTCATTCATTCATTCATTCATTCATTCATTCATTCATTCATTTTCCTTTAGCTTAGTCCCTTATTTATCAGGGGTCACCACAGTGGAATAAACTGCCAACTATTCCGCATAAATTTTAGGCAGTGGATGTCCTTCCAGCCACAACCCATTACTAGGAAACACCCATACATTAAAGTTATTCATTTATTAATTTTCCTTCAGCTTTTTTCCTTATTTATTAAGGGTTGCCACAGCGGAATGATCCGCTAATTCATTCATTTATTCATTCATTTCCTTTTTAGCTTAGTCCCTTTATTAATCAGGGGTCACCACAGCGGAATGAACCGCCAACTTATCCAGCTTATGTTTTATGCAGCGGATGCCCTTCCACTCACAATCCATTACTAGAAAACACCTATACATTCAATTTATTGATTTATTCATTTTCTTCAGCTTACTCTCTTACTTAACAGGGGTCACCACAGAGGAATGAACCGCCAACTATTCTGCATATGTTTTATGCAGCGCATGCCCTTCCAGCTGCAACCCATTATTGGGAAACACCCATGCATTCATTCATTCATTTTCCTTCAACTTAGTCCCTTATCAATCAGGGGTTGCCACAGCAGAATGAACCACCAATTATTCTGGCATATGTTTTATGCAGCGGATGACCTTCCAGTCACAACCAATTACTGGGAAACACCCACACACTCGCATTTACACACACTTTTGCCACTTAGTTCATTTAGTTCACCTATAGTGCATGCCTTCATACTGTGGGGGAAATCGAGCACCCAGAGGAAACCCACACGAACACCGGGAGAACATGCAGACTCCACACAGAAATGCTTCCTGGCCCAGCCGGGTCTTGAACAATTGACTTTCTTGCTGTTAGGCCACAGTGCTAACCACTGAGCTACCGTGTCACTTCAATTCAATTTAAATCAAGTTCATTCGTATTCTTCCAAAATCAGAAAAAGTTTAAATATCAGTAGGGTGGACAGTACAGATATCATTACATTATATACATGGTTAATCTACAGCAGGGATCACCAGTCTTGGTCCTGGAGGGCCAGTGTCCCTGCAGGGTTTAGCTCCAACTTGCCTCAACACACCTGCCTGGGTGTTTCAAGTATACCTAGTAAGACTTTGATTAGCTTGTTCAGGTGTGTTTGATTAGGGTTGGAGCTAAAATCTCTCTGGACACAGGCTCTTCAGGAACAAGTTTGGTGACCCCTGATCTACAGTTAAACGTTATTTTGTGCTATTTCAAAAAGGTCATATGTATTAAGGTAATGCAATATGACTTGAGGTACAATATGACTAGCAAACATTTGTGTTACCTTGTTGTGTCCAACATTAAGTTTATAAGAAATAGTCTGGTGAGAGGAAAGAGTGTTTCCTATACAGGTAACCCCACATTTAGTAAAAGATCAAGACTGCAAAGACCACTGAAGGTATAATAAATGCTGAAAACATTTAGCTGTTTAACCTATTTATCTTTTTGCCTGCAATGCACCATATTTTATATCAAAATGAATAGGCTCTTTAAAGTTAATGTCAATAAAGAGCAGTGATATCTGTAACAGCCTTTTTTTTCTCTGTGTCAAGCTATACTAAGTATACTGACCTTAAAAGTGACACATGTGTAGAAATCCCTGGTTATGGAGCGTTGTTGGAGAATGGTCATGTTCTGAACATCAGACCTCAAAGTCACCACTAGAGAAACTGGTTCAGTGGGCTCATGGATCTGTGCACACAATGTCTCCGTGCTGCCAGACACGGCCTGGGAAGTGACTGCCACCAGATATATACTGAAAGAAGACATAACAGAGAGAAATATAGACTCGCAGGTATATTGCATAAATCACAGAAAAAAATGCTTTTTTAGCATAACTTTAGAGTTGCACGAGCCTCGGGATGTTTTGAATGAATTCACAGTCGAGGAAGTGACTTTTATTTTAATTGTGCCTGGAATGCTTACATGGCGTCTTCAGAGACCACTGCGCTGACAGTAAAACAACAACAAAAAGTGTGTTTAAAATAGTGTACAAAACTGTGTAAATGTAAGTGACCTTTATTAGATTTAACCAAAAATTTTACTATCTATTATTATTTACATTTAAAATGATGTTTTTATTTCGTATATTAAGGTTATATACTGGCGACATGATGGCTCAGTGGTAAGCACTGTTTACTCGCAGCAAGAAGTTTGCTGGTTCGAGCCTCAGCTATGTAAGTTGTGGTTTCTGTGTGGAGTTTGCATGTTCTCTCTGTGTACACGTGGGTTTCCTCCAGGTGCTCCAGTTTCCCCCATGGTCTAAAGAGATGCACTATAGGTGAATCAAATAATTAAATTGGCTGTAGTGTATGTGTGTGAATGCAAGAGTGTATAAGGTTTTCCCAGTGCTGGGTTGCGGCTGTAAGGGCATCCGCTGCGTAAAACATATGCTGGATAAGTTGGTGGTTTATTCCGCTGTGGCGACCCCTGATCAATAAAGGGACTAAGCTAAAAAGAAAATTAAAGAATGAATGTCTCTTGTTTATTCCAACATAAATATGAGTATGTTGTAGATGTGATAAATTTTAACTATGGTTTATACTGCATTATAGTGAAAAATACAATTGAATTAGTTGAAAAAGACAGCATTATTTCAAATAGAAACCTTTGTCTTTTGCAGCAAAAAGTTTAAATATGTTATTTATATTTCTTCAGCATCAGCATATTAGCATATCTATCAGCATAATCAGCCTTAGGACTATAAGAATGATTTCTAAAGGAATCATAAACATTGTATAATCTTAATTATTACAAATGTTTGACAAGTAGCATAGTTATTGTTATGCATTGTCCGAACTTTGACAAACATTCGTATTGCTGTAATTTCTTGTTTTATTTTAGTTAGCATTTTCATTACGGGTACTATTTTATGCGTATTGGCTTAGATGTAATAGCTGAAAAGTGAAATAGTTAACAAATAAACTATTTAAGATGTAAAATTATTATTCCCTGTAATTCTTGCGCCAATATATATATATATATATATATATATATATATATATATATATATATATATATATTCAATGTATTAAGTGTATAACGTTTGAGTGGAAAAAAGTAGTGTACACTTGTCTGAAACCTTTCCTCAGTGTCAACAGTACACACTCGTCTAGTCCTCGACCTGCATATTTCCTCATTACTCAACGGTCTGTTATCTGTTATTTGTGAAGATAATAATCTTAAAGAATCTTACGGATCGGTGGCTCCACTTGTTAAGGACCATTGCAGTAGCAGCAACAGCGACAGCAGCATCTTGAGCAGTTTCAGTCCTGCACAAGCACAGAAAACGTCCTCACTGGTCCAGACAATCAAAAGAGCACTTTTATACGCCTCCACTGCCGTTAAAAACCAGTTGGGCAACTGGTGTGAGAAGATGGATGAATTTTGGATCAATTTGTTTTCCCCTGTGTTGTGTTAACAGTTAAATGGACTGTGACTCATTCTTGTCAGTATGT